TACAAAATTATTTTACCTTTTTTTCAACCCAAAGTTCATGCATCTTGCTGTCAAGGTATGACGGATGAAGCCTACACAGACTTCTTAAAGCACAGTCAGACCACACATGCTTTGGGACGTCCTGGAACTCCCCAGGAAGTTGCGAATGTTATCGCTTTCTTAGCAAGTGATCAAGCTAGTTTCATGACAGGGAATATTACACCTGTAGATGGAGGCCGTCACGCTATGTGCCCGAGATAATCAATGGAAGAATTCAATGTTATCTTCTCTTGAAGCTTAGAGTTTAACCGACAAAAACTTTACTTTTTTGCCGATTTTTTTTGAAAATTATAATGGTTTTGCTCTGGACTATAGTTTTATTGTCGAATTTTCCAATTTTAGTGTGATAATGCTGTCTGGTAAAGTAGCCCTGATAACTGGGGCCTCTTCTGGCATTGGAGCAGCCACCGCTGAGTATTTTGCCAAAGAGGGTATTGCAGGGTTATGTATCACAGGCAGGAACGAAGAAGCTTTAGTGGAAACATCGCTGAAATGCAGCGTACATATCGCACTAGAAAATGTTCTCACAATGACTGGAGATGTTACAGGTGTTTTTTTCAACAATTTTTTTAAAAGTTGATGATCGGTTTTTCAAATGGTCTACCTCTTTCCTGAAAAGAGCCATTTTATCAATGAGTATAAGTATTCATAACGGGTAGTCCCAGCTATGATGCAAAACTTAAGAAAATCTTACAGAATTTTTTTTTTCGAAATTCCAAAAATTTTATCCACGAAGTTTCGGTTCCAGACGAAGATTTTTGCAAGAATCTTGTGGAACAGACAATTGCCAAGTTTCAATCTCTTCACGTGTTAGTTAACTGTGCTGGTATCCTTACAACTGGAAAGTTCGAAAGCACACATCTTGCGGTTTACGACAATGTTATGAATATTAATGCGCGTTCCATTGTGGCCCTCACTCAATTTGCTATTCCTCATTTGAAGAAACATCCTGGAAAAGCATCAATCGTTAATGTGTCCTCTGTCAATGGAATAAGGTAACCATTTTTTGCCAAGTGAAAAAAATTGTGTGCAGTATTTTCAACTAAATGAACTTATTTTCTACTACGAGACTTTTACTGCATAACTTTATCTCCTTTAAAATGAAACTGTCCCAACTTTTAATGGAGCTGCATTGGAATATGGCTTTGATACAGGTCGTTTGCCAATGTGGGTCCCTACTGTATGTCCAAGGCTGCCCTGGATATGTTTACCCAGTGTCTAGCTCTAGAGTTGGCACCTGATGTTCGGGTGAACTCTGTTAACCCCGGTGTGATTCAAACTGAGGTCCACAAACGAGCAGGCAGGATGCTTATGAAAAGCAAAATTTTCAGAGTTTTAAAGTACTTTTATGTTTTTTTTGGAGGAAACGCCAATTGTATTTCGCCAACGTGTGATTCATTAACTTCTATGTTTTCGCTGAAAAAAAAATTTTCATAAATTTTGGTGAGAATTCTTTTTCTCATTCTCATCACATTTTTCTCGAAATCTTTTTTGGAGTTTTTGTTTGTCAAGGCAAACTTCTATGCATTCTGCTGTCAAGGTATGACGGATGAAGCCTATTCGGACTTTTTAAAGCACAGTCAGACAACCCATGCTTTGGGGCGTCCGGGCCAGCCCGATGAAGTTGCAAACGTTATCGCTTTCTTAGCAAGTGATCAAGCCAGTTTCATGACTGGGAATATTACACCTATTGACGGAGGCCGCCATGCTATGTGCCCGAGATAATCAACAAAAACATTCTTGTGCTCCTCGTTTCGGACTTAATCCAAAAATCTATCTGACACTTTCTCCATGAAGTTTTTTTTGTTTAAAATTTCCAAGATTTAGCTGGTAATTTTTTTCAAGAGAATTACCCGGTTTTAGTGTGATAATGCTGTCTGGGAAAGTAGCCCTGATAACTGGAGCCTCTTCTGGCATTGGAGCAGTCACCGCTGAATATTTTGCCAAAGTGGGTATCGCAGGGTTGTGTATCACAGGCAGAAAAGAAGAAGCATTATTGGAAACTTCAAAGAAATGCAGTGTCTATATGCCTTCAGAAAACATTCTTTCGATCACTGGAGATTTATCAGGTTTTGTTCCTTCTAGATTTGTCAAATATGGCGCAAAATTTCATGCATTTATTTGGCGCGAAGTTTCACTTGAAAAACTTAACATTTTTTATGAAACGTGCATGCTGAATGCCATTTTTCCATGCCATTATAAATTTATTGTAGTTTATTAGGATGATATTTGGGCACACCTTTTCAACATTGTTGACAACTATGCAAGATCAGGGGGGTGCCTCAATAGTCAATGTCTCCTCCCTCGCTGCCATGCGCTCGTTCCGGGGCCACTCCAACTATTGTATGTCGCTGGATGAAGGCTGCTCTGGACATGCTGACCCAGTGTCTGGCTCTGGAGTTGGCACCGGAAGTTAGAGTCAATTCCGTTAACCCTGGACTTGTAGTTACGCCTATACAGAGAAATTCAGGTATGATAAGTAGGGAAACCACCGTTTGCCTTTTATTTTAAAGAATTTTGCTCTCTATTTTTGCCATTTTTGTGTCATTTGCCATCAATTTGCCCTTCGAAAATTTGGGTTTTCTGCAAGTTCAGTCAAATGGAAAAATTGCAGTTTGTAGTAGTTGTATATACATTTGGTTTTACATGTTGGTTATATTTTTTTGGTTGCTAGGAATGTCGGAAGAAGACTATAAAGTGTTCATTGAGAATTGTGAGAAAACCCATTTGTTGAAGCGAGTTGCCCAGCCTGAAGAGATAGCCAGTGTCATTGCCTTTGTGGCCAGTGACGGAGCCAGCTTTATGACGGGGTCTGTAGTACCTGTGACCGGTGGCAGACACTGCGTTTGTCCAAGATAGACAAGGCAACCACAGTTCGAATTTTGAGGGAGAAACGTTTTCCCAAAACAGTGTATTGACCAAGGGCTGGAAAATGTCAATTGGTGACCAATTTAATTGCAATTAATTGTGTCAATTAATTGGCACGGCCAAATTTAAATTAATTCCTGTTTGATTTATTAAACAGGTCTTATCAAAATTGTGAAAAAAATTTTTCATTGGTATTTTTTTTTTGTTTTTTTTTCAGACGCTTTTAGGTTTTTTCGACTTTCCTCGAAAACGGCCCCCACAAATTCCTTGAAATTCTCAGGGATGATCAATTAGGTTATCACAAGCAAGGGACAGCATCCCCCAAGTGCAGAAAAATATTTGGAGGCTGGGAAAATACGTGTAAAGGGGTCAAAAATGGCCATTTTCGGCATTTTTTGAGGTTTTTATGACTTTACTCAAAAACGCCCCGCACAAATTCCCTGAAACTTTCAGGAACGATTAATTACGTTGCTAAAATACCAAAAAAACAACTCCTGAAACGAAAAATGTTTTTGGAGGCTGGCAAAACACTTCAAAGGGGGTAAAAATGGCCATGTTTTTGGAGGCTGGAAAAATTCGCTGAGAAAAAAAGTGATAATTAGTGCACAGAAAATAATTGCGTTGAGAGACACTTGAGAGACACTTCAAAGGGGGTAAAAATGGCCATGTTTTTGGAGGCTGGAAAAATTCGCTGAGAAAAAAAGTGATAATTAGTGCACAGAAAATAATTGCGTTGAGAGACACTTGAGAGACACTTCAAAGGGGGTAAAAATGGCCATGTTTTTGGAGGCTGGAAAAATTCGCTGAGAAAAAAAGTGATAATTAGTGCACAGAAAATAATTGCGTTGAGAGACACTTGAGAGACACTTCAAAGGGGGTAAAAATGGCCATATTTTTGGAGGCTGGAAAAATTCGCTGAGAAAAAAAGTGATAATTAGTGCACAGAAAATAATTGCGTTGAGAGACACTTTTTCGTCTTTGGTGAAAAATGAACTTCACAAAGTCCCTCAACGCAATTATTTTCTGTGCACTAATTATCACTTTTTTTCTCAGCGAATTTTTTTTCTTTGCACTAAGTATCACTCGTGCTGTTTTAATTTTCTGTGTACTTTTGGTTAATCATACTTGTAGTTTCAATTTCGTCGCAAATTTGTGAAATCGCAAATTGAAAAAGTTGGGAAAATCATACTTTGTGTTTTGTCCCTAGAACAATAGCAAACTATATGGAATTTTGTCAAAAACGAACCCTACAATTCCCTGAAACTTTCAGGAAAGATTAATTACGTTGCTACAATACCAGGACAGCAACTCCCGAATCGAGAAAAGTTTTTGAGGATGGGAAAAACACTTCAAAAGGAGCCAAAAGCAACCTGGTTTGTTTTTTTTTTGAGGTTTTTTCGTCTTTGGTGAAAAATGAACTTCACAAAGTCCCTGAAACTTTCAAGAAATATTAATTAGGTTACTACAATACCAGGAAAGCAACTCCCGAAGCGAGGAAAAAAATTTGGAGGACGGGAAAAAGACTTCGAAAGGAGCCAAAAACAGCCTATTTCATCATTTATTGGGGTTATTACGATATTTGTCAAAAACGATCACTACAAATTCCCTGAAACTTTCAAGAACGATTAATTACGTTGCTACAATAACCATTTATCAATACCAAAAACTAATCAAACAGGTCCATGTAGCTTGCTATTGTTCTAGTTGACAATTGACACCCTGTGAGCAATTAATTGCAATTAATTGGTATGTGTATGCTGGCATCTGGTACGTTACATGTTCATGACGTAACTGGTAATTTCGTAGCCAAGCTTTGCAAAATGCGTAAATTGACTCAGTAATATACTCAGTGAACACAGTATCAACTGAAAAGTTTCTTTGACACTCCAAATTTACGTCCTAATCTTAAAAACAAAGACTTTTAAATCAATTTTCCATGTTGCTCTGTGCTCCTTCTTACGTTAAAATCAGGTTTTTTGTAATTTTTAGGGGAAAAAATTGTCCAATTAATTGATTAGTTGACATTTTTTCCCCGACCAATTCAATTAATTGACAAAACTTTTGAATAATTGACAAAACTGTTGCCAATTGACATTTTCCAGCCCTTGGTATTGACCGCTTTAAACTAACGCGGTTTGAAACAGCGGAAATGCAGCCAAAAAAAGCGAAAGCGGTGAAAGCGCACCGATTTTCAGAAAAGCGGTGTAAAAGCGATAAAAGCGCGACTGGATATGAAATAAGCGGCTGAGCCATGCTAGCTTATGCGCATTACGTCGTAATGTAACACGGGTCAAAATTTTAACCTTAAGGCCTTGAGGCAAAGGCAAAACGTGTTCATTACGTCATATACAACGCAACAGAATACCAAAATCACTTAAACCTCAACTTATACTGTAATCCTTTGTATTTATTTATGTCCAATTGTTTCCGAGAATCGTTTGTACCTCAAAGTTATTTGAATTAACTTCATCATCATTCGTTTCTCTTGAAAGCGGAAGAAAGCGAATATTTAATACTCAATTAAGCGGTATAAGCGAAAAGCGGTTTTCGAAAAAGCGGAAGCGACGACAAACGGCTTTTTGAAAAGCGATCAATTCACTGTTCCGAAAGCGTTGTAATTCTAACACGAGTCATTTTTTTCGAAACACGAGAAAGCATTTTTCAAGAAAAAGTATTGGGATTTTTTGCGTGCGGAAAACAGCATTTTTCACAAAAAAGTAAGTTTCATAAATGTAATGTAAGTAACCTATTTTGCTCACTTCGGTTGAATTGAAGATTTTGAAAAACATTTTTTAAACCAAACGACTACTACCTGTTCATAAATATCAGATAAAAAAAATTCCCTTTAGTAAATAATTTTTGGTTTGTACGTTTTTTTGTGAACAAATATCGAACGGTGGTTGCTCAGTTTTTTCTCGTATTTACTCTGTCATAGTATCTAAATTTAGTTCATGTTTCAATTCTAGTCGTGTTATCTATTTCAATTATCTGTCTGGCGCTAACCGGTATTTAACCTTCGGAGTTTGTCTGTCACCTTCGGATGACAGCTATCTTATTGTCTCTGACTAACTTTCTGAACTACGGTTTGCTTATTAACAAGACATTTAATTCATATCTCGAAACCGTCTTTTCACATGGCGCAGCCAACAGGCCAAAGTGGGGGGAAGAACCCACTGGGAATTACATCGTTTTGGCCCTCGACGCTTGCAGAACCACCAATGCTATGTGAGTTTTGGTTCAATCGATTTCAATGGGGGATGGTGGCCAAATACAGTTTAAACCCTAAGAACTTCTATTATGCCAGTACGTTAACAGAAGCACAAATTGCGGATTTACCAGCGGAGGTAGATGGGAAAAATCGCCTGGCGTCGGAGCAAACACTTATCTCGAACTTGTATTTATGTCTGGGGGAGAAAGGACAGGATGAGCTACATAAGAGAAAACCACACCTGGACTTATCTGCAACAAGGTATTCTAGAGTGGTGGATACTATTGAAACCGAATTTCGGAAGGAACGAAACGAAACGTATGAGACATTCCAACTATTGGCACGAAAGCAACAAATAGGAGAATCACTAGAACAGTTCCATTCAGTGTTGAGTGGGTTGGCCGCTCGATGTAATTTTGGAGCATTGGAGACCAGGATTTTGCGGGATGTGTTCATCGTGAACATGAACAATAGGGAGGCCCAAAATGAGCTATGTCGCTCAACGAAGACACCAGAGGAGGTGTATCGTATTGCACTTTCATATGAACGCGGATATAAATATGCAAAGTCATACGGATCGATAACCGGGGGAGGAACTAGTGGCACTGCCGGCGGAGCTGGAGCGTTCCAAATCAAGACGGAACCAGTGGGGGCCATTCGAGGAGGTTACAGAAACAACAGATCGCGGGGCCGTGGATCATTCAGGGGGCGAGCAGGAATGAGAGGGGGTGGTCTCAGAAGATGCTATAATTGTGACCAACCGAACTTTACTCCGGAACACCTCACAACGTGTCCAGCGAAAAATGCAACGTGTAATTTCAGCAGGAAGACAGGACATTACGAAAGGACTTGTAGGGGAAAACGAAATAATCCGGGAAGACCGGCAGTGGGACTGATCCAAAATCAGGAAGATATGGAAGCTACTGAAATAGGCGACGCGGAGGATACATATTCTCAGCATGAGAATTCCGTCGGCTGGGTTAATTCACCGGCCAAGAAGCAACGATCGTGGGATTCGGATAGCTCAGGAGATTGCGTTGTTATGGCCATCAGATCTCGGAAAGAAACAGATCTAAAAGTGGCCGGCGCCCGACTACCAATTAAAGTAAATGGAAAGCAAACGAACGTTTGGATAGACAGTGGATCACCGATTTCGATATTCACCATCGGGGAATTGAAACGAACGTTGGGTACCGCAGGCGTCAAGGTGAAGGCACCGGCACCGGAGGACGAGGAGTTCAGGGATTACGGAAACAACCCCTTAAGACTACTAGGAACGATGAACGTACGATTGAAAAACAAACGGATGGGTGATCAACGCAAACATCAGAGTGATTGGAGGAAGCAGACCATCAATTATCGGAAGAGACCTAATGCCAAATCTTGGATTACAGATCGTGCAGAAGGCACCGGACGAAAATGTGATGTCGGTACAGAGCGACCAAGTCACAGTTGAGGAGACGGATGTGGAGGACTCACTGGACAACTGGCAGATCTACTTCAGTAAGCAGTTTGAAAATCTTTTTAACAGAGTCGGAAAAATTAAGAATTATAAGGTACACGCGGATTTTTTCGAAACGTTAACACCAATTCAACAAAAAGGACGTAGAGTGCCCATCACGTTGCAAGAAAAGGTTGATAAAGAAATTGATAAACTTTTACGGCAAGGACACATTGAAAAGCTAAAGGAATGTTCAGATAAATATTTTGTTTCTCCGATTGTAATAACAGTGAAAAAGGACGGATCAGTAAAATTAGCGCTAGAATCAAGGGAGTTGAACAA